ATGTTTGGAGCTTTGTTTCTTGTTGAAATATGAAGTATTAGGCCTATATTTATAGGGGAAGATGTTAATTAGCCGTTAGGAGGTGATTAGGGTTGAATTAATTCAAAAATCAGCAATCAGGAATAGTGTTCCAACGGTAACGGTACCCTTTACGGTAAGGGGGTTGCGTCCAGACGGTAGGAGGGTCATGTGCTTACGGTAGCTAGGTACCTTCTCAGGCCAAAACTCTCTGGCGGTACCTATCCTCTTACGGTACCCCTTACGGTAGGGGGGTCCCGTCCAGACGGTAGGGGGATCCCGTGCTTACGCTACCTAGGTACCTAGTGACCATTTTCACAATTTTTTCATTTTTGTCCAAATCGTTTCTAATTTTATTTAAAAACTTTTGGATGTTTGAAAATGATTATAAAAGGGTTTTAAACATATTTTGTGAGTGTTTTTGAGCTTGTGAATATAGGTATATAAAATCATATCATTACATCAATTTCTACATATATTCTACGCTAGTTTAGTGTTTCGAGTTCATTCTTGAGAACTGAATCTTAATGGAATCTTGTTGTACCTGAAACACTTAAACAAACATTAAACTCTTATATTATTTGTTAACATCAAAACACGAGGCTTAGCAAACCAAGGCTAACAATCTCCTCCTTTTTGATGTTGACAAACAATATACTTCAAAGTGAGTTAGGCGGGAGTAAAATAATGAAGCAAGCAAGATCCCTAAAGAATAAGCATATTGAAAATGCTCACTTTGAACTTTTCTTGTGTTTATTAAAAGTTTAAGTTTGATGCAAATAGTTACACAAGAATGCACTCAAGTCAAGTTGCATATGCACCACTTTGAAGTATACATCTTCTCCCCCTTTTGTCAAAATAAAAAAGGGCATTTTTAAATTTTAACTATGTATAACTTTTTGAAATCATCCCCCTATCAAGGCTAACATAGAGGAATCTCTAGGACTAACACACGTATATTAGGAAAGTAAGAGTTAAACCATGTGGAGCCTACTGGGCCTAATGGTTATCTAGGTAAAAATGTACATAGGGGTATTCTTGAACTGCTTGGTGATCCATCAGGTGGGGATTCCACCCACCCAACGGAGAACTCCTTCGTTAGTTGAGCATGACCTGCTGATCGAGTGGGAACAATCATGACTCCAAAAGAAAGTAGTAAGTCCTTAGTTTAGAATAGATTAAAGGAACAGGTTCTTGGTGATCTACTAACCTCGAAGAATCCACAGGTTTGATGAGAATGGAAATGAGCAAGTGCGAGGTAAATTATGTGTTGAACTATATGTGTGGTATATATGTTGATTGCATGATATCACATGATTGTTATGAATTGTGGGTTTGCTTATTTGTTTACTTTGATGTTAGATATATTTCACTCAATATCATTGTTAAGCGTGCAGTTGTTTGTTTTGACTGCACGTAGGTAAGACTGTGGGTAAGCATAAGTTGATCTCAGAGGCAGCAAGATGGAGGAGATGTACGGATGCAAGATTCAAATAGATAATTAATATGATGATTTTCTAATGTAAATGTTTTGTTAATAAGATTATATTAATGATTGATTAAATGACAATTTAGCTTCCACACTGTTCTGAACTAACTCTGATAAATATTTAAATGTTTTTGAAGGTTTGGGTTTTGAGTTATGTGATTTTATTTCCTTTTGGAAAATATTATATGTGGATAGCAATTTAGTAGCAACTCGGTTTGCTAACCCATATATTCGGATTATGTGGATTGGGGTGTTACACTAGAGAAATGCTCAAATTTGATACTCCCAAAAAGAATAATCATGGCCACATAATAGAGGAGGTTTGAATACATTGGCACCTTCTTGTAGATCTCCCATGATTATAGATCGGATCAAACTAGAAAATTAAGGTTAACCACTGTGATTCCAATTGAAATGCTTCGGAGTGCAGCCAAAATCACCAATAAAAATAAGCAACGCAAACTAGCCGATCAGATAAGTTGCTAGAAAGGATGCTACAACACTGTCACAGAAACAGATGAGAGACAGAGTGTTATAAAACCTTATTGTCATATGCACACACGCATAAAAATAAAGTAAAAATTGGTAAATAGTGCACCTGAATTTTTTATGCAGTTTGAGGCAAAATCTCCTATGTCTATGGGGCCCACATTTGTGTAATAGCCTTTTACTAAATCTTAGACACTCTTCTCCAAATTGTTATGACAAAACCTCGAAACTAAGACTTCTATTTCTAATTATGTTCGAACTGCTTCTGAACTATACACCTTGTAACACTCAACCCGTGTATCCCGAATAAACGAGTTAGCAAACCAGGCTGTCACACAATTGGTATCCACATGCACAATATTTAAAATATTTAAAATAAAACACCCATTCATAATAATTTGAAATGAACACAAGTCAACCGAAGTAAACAAATCAAAATGTTACAGAAGCCTTTAAAAACAACATCACCAAAACATTCTTGTAATTTAAGTAAGTTCAACTCAATAATTAATTTAACATAAAAGATCTTCGAGCCATTCACTTCGCCAAGCGTAACTGATCATCGAGCTGCTCATCCAATACCTGGTTATTCCTACCTGCATGTACCAAAAAACGACAATGAATACACGCGCAGCTGAAAGGTAAGTAAGAATATATTTAACGCCCGAACTAATTCACATACAATCATACAATGTCATGCGAATGGATCACATAATCATATAACATCATTATCCATCAAGAATCATCATAACATACTCAACAACTCACTACTCTTAACCTACGCTCAAAATCCAAAGACATCTCAATGGAGGGTCACTTACCTCCGTACGTAAGTTTTAATCCTCAAGACCATCAGGTGCGTAACGACACCAACATAACCTTAATTTCCTAATTCTCAATACTATTGGTGATTTCAATATTCAATTCAACTCAGTACACTTTTCATCCAACACTCCCAAACGAGATTGTCAAAATTATAATAACGGTATATTAAAAGTCTGTACTCACAACTTTATATTTTCTCTCTCTGGTCCGTCTCAATCATTAATTAATTATTTTTAATTAATTAATACTGATAGGCTTGAACAATAAACTTTTCTTATTTATTTATGCATTAAAACAACTCATACCTTAAAATCACATTTGGATAATAAAATCACAATTTAATAGTTAATAATTTAAAATAATTAATTCCAACATAAATAAACAATATTTATTTATTTAAAAATAACGGCTAACTACTAAGCAAGGTTCTAGGCCGTTGCACACCTTCACCAAGATATCTTCAAGGAGATGTTTGCAACCCTAATTCGAGAATCGACTTCACAAAATCTGGACCATAGCATGTAGATTAATCGCGGATGGCACAACAACAATAAAATACAACGTTGTTGTCAAAATTATCAACAAGTCGCAACTACTGCTTTGGAAAATTAGACTTGTGCGCCTTTTGAAGATTCTTCACAACAAATATACTTCGAATTTGCTTTTCTTTAAATTTACAAATATACTTCGGATTTGCTTTCTTCTCGGCAGCAAATATATTCTATATTTTCTTTTCTTGACGCACTTCAAAATTAAGAAATAAATACTTGGTCTTCCTTTTCTTTTTGCTCAGCCTAGTGTATGGAAATAGTCACACAGAGCATTATTAAATGTCGTGTGTTAGCGGTGGCGGTGTTGGTCGATGGCAGACGACTAACCAGCGATGATGGAGGCTACAATACCGTAACCCTCTCTAGATGAGTTGGATGCTCCGTATTTTCTCTTTATCTTGTGTATATTTCGGCCCTCCCATCTTCTGTGAGAGACTTGTGGCATATATACACAAATATCTTAAACCATATCCCCGTAGGATTAGGAGTTCTAGTCCAAAAGTAAATCATGTAGGAATAGAATTCTGGGATGCTGCAGTTCTTTACAAGGTGACGGACATGACGGTACAGCTCTATACTAAAATAACTACAAATAATTCTAAATAAAACTATTCGTTTGACAAAAGATAATGCCAATAACAACTGAACACAATATGGAACTAATAAGTTTGACTAGTCAAGTATGACTTGCCCACCTGTCCTTGTAATTTCTACCAGGTTAAATTTGCACCATCACGTCCCATTATTTGATCCACCCATCATCCACATTTATTCAGGTTTTTATTTATTACAGCGGGTCGGGTGGGACGAGTATCTCTTGGGTCATGTAGAAAAAGTCATCCCTCCTAATCTAGACTTGAGCTGCACTATTGTTGATGCTGTTGGGCTTGGATTTTGGAGCAGATTTGAGGCGAGGTGGGCGTGTAACTTTGATTCTTGTGTCTTCAAATTGCATCGTGTTAGGCTGCAATGAATTGAAGAGAAAGACGAACGAGGCAACTGTTGTTAGTTTGAGAGGAAGTGTTAGTCATGTTCTGGACGTGTTAATTTGTCAGAATCATGTTAAGGGCGCCCCAATTGTGACATTAGTTGCTCAAAAACATTCAAGAAGACATCGATGATAAATAGGGGTGAAATGGTCTGATTCCGATGCTGAGAAGGGTGCGATAGAACCCTTACATGGTGTTTTATCAATTTTAAATAAATAAAAAATAAGTATTAAAAAACTAAGATTTTAGTTCCTAAAAATGAGAATCTTAACGAGAGCTTCTCAGTTTGATTTTTTTCCAAAACCAATGTTTCTACTTCCGGTTTGATTCTGAGTCGGACCTTATCCACCCTTTTAGGAGGGGGGAGAATGCTAAGGTGCCACCACATGGGTGCTACCATGGGTGCACCCATGCTTCACACAGACAAACACATGCGATAATTATCTGTGTCGCACAGATAATTATTGTCTGTGTTTATCTATGTGAAGCATGAATGCACCCATGGTAGCACCCACCACCCTTAGGAGGTAGGTGGTACGAGAGTTGGATCCCAGTTTTGGATACCCAAGGTTTAATCCAATTTGCCCTCCCTCCACTAGGCACGGATTCAGCCACATCTTCCTCTATTGCATATGACGCCACGCATGCTCTCTCCCCCCACTCATAGCCACATTCAACGGAGAATCTTTGCAGCGAAAAGGCCAGCCTTCTGTACTCAAACTCGTTGGAATTCCGTGAAGAACAAGGATACGATCAAAGATGGCATCGCGATTGATCCATTCTTCTGCATCTAGATTTCTTCTCTCCAAGCCATCGTAAGTTTTGAAGTGGTGATTTCTATTGCTAACCCCTCTGATGTTCTCTGTCCGTAGTGTAGTCATTTGATGGATTGGATGCCAGTTAGCTTGGCGATTTCAATCCATTTTTTTGGCTATGATCTTTGTGGTTTTTGATAACTGGTTGCAAACTTGCAATATTATCAATACTTGCTGGATACTGTATGTAGAAATTTACATGGTACCAACTGCCTTATCATTTTTTAATCTGAACATACAATTGTCTATTTGTCTGCCTTATTACTTTTGTAAGAAATTCACATGGTACCAACTACCGTTTTGTATGAGACTATGAGATCAATCATGGGAGACTTAATCAGCCGGTAAACTGGTTCCTACGACAAGAAGTCTAACTGAATTGGCATTAGAAATGAGGTGTCCGTAAGGACATTGTAGTGTGAATGACCTAACGAGAGGTTAGGAAGAACTTGAACTTGGCATGAATGGCATGATTCGATTCTTAGTGGTCATTTTGAAGTGGGCGAGGAGGATCACCGGACTATTAGGCCAACATGTCATATTACTTTTGTGTCATTTGGGCCTTTTGGGGATGTAATCATGATTGAGTAGTTGTGAAGAAGCACTTAAGTATCACTAATTGTCAACTTGAACTTGCGGACTAATAATGTCGAGTATGTTTCTTTGTCCTTTCTTCAAGTGCTAAGTAGTGAGACGCATGCAATTGGCTATTTTCATTGAAAAAAAGGAAGGCCTCCGGAACTTACTATAGAAACCTGACATTGTCATTCATATCAACTTCTTTAACGGATAACAATCCAATGCATTCCATTAAAACCCCTCATGAAAAAATGCACTCAGTAGACACCCAAATGCATGTAGTTTTAGCCTGTAGGTAGGTATGTATGCCAGTAGATGTGGATAGGTATACATGCATGCTGTCATTGCTGTACAATTATTGCATTTCCAGTCTCCCATTGTTTTACAATATAAGACAACTGTTGGAGTTGCTCCTAGTTGGGAGGTTGGGCATCAACTCATCATTCAACATTGTACTCGAGAAATGATTATCAAACGTATGCTTTGTAATCTGTGGTGTGTTATTGACACATGAACTACCTTATCCTGATCTGTATGAGCTTTGAACAGACGTTAGGCTTTCTATGATTTGGTATGTATGCATTAGAGATATGTGATTAATAGGTTACTAAACTTGCTTCTATTTTTACCTTGCTTGTCATTTCCTTCAGTTCAGTAAACAGATCCCTTCTTCATGTGATTGGTCCCAGCCTCTAATATTTTACTCTTACATGGTATAAAGATATACTTTTTTATTTCTTGGTGCTTCTATTATGTAGGCATATGACTGCATGGAGAAATGCTCGCTATTTTTCAAGCGAGTCCAACAAAATAGATGAACCTTTTAAAGTTGAGGAAGCTGAAACTGTAAATTTGCCTCCTAGAGAGAAGGTTATTTATAGTTTTAAACCAGTAATTCACATCCATTGTGCCATTTCCTGCGAAAGAATTTTTAGTGTCTCTTTGCTGGTGGATCCAGATACTTGTGCTGGGTGGAAATGGATTTGTTGGCTCACATATCTGCAAAGAAGCGTTGGAGCGTGGCCTAGCAGTTGCTAGCCTTAATAGGTACTCAACCTCATACTCCCTCCGTCCCAAAAACTCCTTCCCCTTTCTTTTTTTACTTGTCCCACAGAGTCCTTCCCATTTTTATTAAAAAACCACTTTTATCCCTACTAATTCTAAACTTACCTATCACATCATACCTTTTTACTAATAATCTACACATCACATCCTACTTTTACCCATCACATCAAGAGTATTTTTGGAAAGTCAACGCAAAATTATCTCTCCCTTAAATTTCCTAAAAGTCAAAATGGGAACATCTTTTTGGGACGGAGAGAGTATGATTTTGTATCAAATTTTATAGGTTGATACAAAGTAAACAAATACTCCGATCTGTAAGCTTTATTACTAATAATGCATGAAGAAAAGATTTAAAAGTCAAAATAGTTTACTAGTAATATTGATGGATCAGCCTAAAGACCGAAAAGAAGGTCCCACATGACAACTTGGCAAATATCGTCGCCAAAAACAATGGTTGTGGTAAGAAATATTATTTGGGGGTGATGAGACTTCTGTCGTGCTTGAAATACAATGCACCGAAATTGGCGAGAGGGAATCGGAGCCTCTAGGGATGAGCTTGATCTTTTGGAATAAAATCAATCATGTTTTTGACATTCTCATCGTCATCGTCATCATCCCGGATTGTAATGAGTGAAGTCACTCTGATCTAAGTCTCCAACTCGTATGGAGACTGTTCTAACTCAATGAACTTGACGATCCGAGGATGAAATTCACAAAGGATGACCAACTTAAGATACTTCTCCCTAACGGCACCATCATGATCACTTGTTATCACTTCGTAATTCCGTATCTTCTTCCCCTCTAATGCAAATGCAGGCTGAATAATTATTATTGGTACGTAGAATAGTTAAATTAATTCAACTCACAATTAATAGCTAGTTATAGTATATGATGGAGACAGAGTAGAAGTAGTAGAAGAGAACACCATGCAGGGTGTACTAGCAGATGATTTTGATGTAGTGGTTGTCCGATTCTTAATCCCCTCCTTCTCATATGCTATCAGATATGAGTAGGTTGTCCGAGGAAAGCAATGTGTACAGTTTTTTGATGAGTAGTGTATCACTTTGCTGGGAATTTTAGCCAGATTCACTTCGTTTGGACTTTCAACTAGTACGTGTTTGAATTATTGTACACGTTAGTGTACTGAATTGTTTCACTTGATCATATGTTTCAGTTGGGGGCTATAGAGAGGAGGGGATGAAGAACTGGACGGTTTCGGGGAAGTATTTGCTAGTACACCTTATATGGTTTTCTCTTCTACTACTTTTACTTTTTCCTCCATCATATCTTATAGCTAGCTAGTGATTGTGGGTTGAATTAATATAATCACTCTAAGTACCAATAATTATTTTTCAGCCTGCATTAGAGAGTAAGAATTAGAGGAATTACGAAGTGACAAGTGATCATGATAGTGTTGATAGAGATCAGTGTCTCAAGCAGGTCATCCTTCGTGAATTTATCCTCGGATCATCAGGTTCATTAAGCTAGAACATGTGCAGTCTCCATACGAGTTGGAGACGTAGATCAGAGTAACTTCACTCATTGCAATTCGGAGCGATGATGAAGACAATAAAAATGTCGAAAACAAGATTGATTTTATCCTTGAAAATCAAGCTTATCCTGCGAGGCCCCGATTCCTTCTCGCCAGGTTCGGTGCGTTCTACTATGAGCACGACGAGTCTCATCACCTAAACAATTTTTCTTACCACAACCGTTGTTTGGCAATGATGTCGGTCAAGTCATCATGTGGGGCATTCTTTTCGGTTTTTAGGTTGATCCATCGATATTACTAGTAAATTGTTTTGGCTTTCAAATCTTCTCAACATGCATTGTTAGTAATAATGCTTACAGGTCAGAGTATTTGTTTGCATTGTATTGGCTGGGAGCTTTTCATATGACTTTTCATCTTAGGCTCCGTTCCGTTCAACTTATTTTTTCTGATCTAATCTGATTTTTTGTAGATCTGATTTGATTGGATCTGTTGGTCTGATTCGATTTGATCTGATTAGTTATGATTTGATTTAAAATTCAAATCAATTTTTTGATCTGACTTTATAATAACTTTTGAAAATTGTAATGATAATTCATATTACATTATAATCAATATTTTTTATTTTATGATTATTTTTTAATGAAATAAATTTAGTTAATTCATATATTAGAATAATCATTCATATTATAATGTAATAATATTTTTTAATTTATGATTAATTTTTTATAAAATAAGTATATTGATTTAATATTTTAATAATTAGTTCATATATACATTAGAATAAATATTTAATGCATATATACATTAAAACGTAATTAAATTTATTTTTTGAAAAAATCGTATCAAGTGAAACAAGTAAAAAATATGGAATTTAAAAAAGTATGGAGTAATAACGATAACGATAATGATGATGATAATAATAATAATTCCTAATAATAATAATAATAATAATAATTCTTGAATGGATCTGATCTGATTGGATCTGATCTAATTAGATTTGATCTGATTAGATTGATTGATCTGATGAGATCTGATCTGGTTTGATCTGATTTGATTTTAATACGAATAAGAAAAATGCAGAAAAAATAAGTTGAACGTAACGGGGCCTTAGTCATAGGGAGCTTTTCATAACACATCAGAATTCCCGGCTTTCTCACATTACTGTATAGTCTTTAAACATCTATGTAATAAAGAGTGGTTGTTCCACAGGGGATTGTTAAAGGAAGATGCACACAACCTCACTTGTGTTAGTTAAATCGAGGCTGTTATAAGTAAATGAACCTGTTTCTTAATTATTCACCATGTTCCTGGGATGGGACCATTTTAGAGCATCATATTGGATTCTAACTTGTGTTAAATGGCCTATATACTATTTTGCGTGGAAGAATTATTGGACATAGGTTTGTCAACGGTCAATTTTGGACCCGGATCCTACCCAAACCACTGAAATGAGTCTAGCACATATTTTCATACGGGCACATTCCCGAACCTGGACGCAATCATCTCATATCAAATGGGGTGGGTCTCAGATTTCTAAAAAAGCCCAACCCAAATACCCAATTAAGATTATTGTGTTTGTACTCTGTGCGCGCACACCCAAATACTCCCTTAGTCCTCTAATCATAGTTGTCACGGCGGCTAGGCGAGGCTAGGCGTTAGTGTACCTTCCAGTCGCCTAGGCGAATAGGCACCCGCTTAGGTGTCCCCTAGGCGAGTGGGTTACGGCGACCTTAATAATTTTATATGTAGTAATGTAAAAACATATAGTATGGAATAAGTAATTAAAGAGTACATAGATACCAACATTATGAAATATATGAATAAATATTGTTTGAAAAAATANAACAGAAACAATTGAATCAGAGAATCGGAAAAGAAGATGCCTTGATGCGTCGTTCGTTGGAGATAGATGAGGAAACTCAGCCGCGACGTTGATGCAGAGAATCGGAAAAGAAGATGCGAGAGAGAGAGGGTTATCGAAACTGGAGCAGTAGACTGGAAGGGTTGTTGACCGGCTAGGTTTTATTTCAATATCGCAAGTGGGCTTTTAATTTTTTTTTTTAAAAAAATAACGCTGGGCGTCGCCCACTCGCCTAATCGCAGCTTCCAGACGCCAAAAGGACGCCAAGATCGCCCAGGTAAAAAAAAGCTAGGCGTGAGGTTAGGCGTCCATATCACCTCGCCCAGACGCTTAGGCGTCGCCTAGGCGACGCCTTGATAAGTATGCCTCTAATTAAATTCCTATTTTTCCTTTTTTCTTTTGGTTGTCCTCACAATAAAGTTCCTACTTATACAGAAGTAACTTTTATTTGCCTATCAGACAAAATCTAGTTCTTCCCATCTAGTCAAATCCACCCCTATCCAAAAAGCAAATCTGTTTTTTATTGGCATTTTGGGATGCCAATACAAAACCAAAACTACTTTGCATGAATCTGTGTGACAATTAACTTGGGAACTGAAAGGGGAAGGGGTGGAAGATGTTTATCTTTTTTTTCTTTTGTTGATTGCGTCTTCCTTAGACTCTTTTTGTAGATTTACCAACAATTGTTGTATCTTGTTCTAACTTTTTTTAGTCTCGTTCATATCAAGTTTGATTTGATTTTTAAAAAATTTAGTTTCTAGCCAAACAGATTTTACTGGTGATTCAGCCTAATGCGACTCCCATTTAGAATTATCAGGGCAGGTAGGTATAAGGGTCAGGTTCCCAAGTCAGGAACATTTTAAATTGGATCCATTGGGTGGAGACTCGGGGCTGGACAAAATAAATAAACAGGTCTGGTCCTGGTTCTTATAAAACATTGCCTAGATCCGACTCACTTACACCCTAGGGTCTAGTTGGACGTGGTACTGTGGTAGTGTTTATATTTGCAAGGGAGGGAAATAGAAAAAGAAGCATAGAATGTAATTTGGCGTCTTACAGATTTTGGAGTATTTTCTTGTTTTTGGTAGTTATTACTTTATAACAAAAATTTGTAGAATGTATTTAGTTTATCATAGAGAAATAGGACATTTTTGTGCGCTACTTATGATTTTGGCTACATGAGGAACCTCATTCATGTGGACTCTCTTCAACTTATTTTTTGTGGTACACTCATGAGAGGTTGGGCATTATCAGTTTACATCTTGTTTATACTAACTTGGGTTTATTTACTCTTATAGAACAGGCAGGCCATCCATACAAGAACCATGGGTAAACAATGTGTCTTGGCACCAAGGTTTCACTATTGTTTGGCTAATTACGATCCTAGCTTCCTGCCTTCCTTTTGCTATGCACAAGAACTTATAATCTGTTTATACCCTGGTGACAGGAAACCTTCTCTCAAATGATTCCTGGAAAGAAGCACTAAATGGAGTAGATTCTGTTGTATGTATTACTTTTACATTTCTTCTATATGAATCTCTCAAAGTAGTCATTGACAAATGACTAATTTTTATTGATTTGGCCAGTAACATGCATGGTTGTTATAGCTTCGTCTATGCAAAATTGATTTGGTCAGTAACATGCATGGTTATTATATCTTCACGCCTAGACAACGCCATGTTGTCTTGGCAGTGGAGAATACTCGCCAGGGCAGGTCGCTCACCTGAAGAGAAATGGACATTAAATGATGTTGACTACGCGTTCATAGCAGTGCCTTTTTTTTCTGGCCCTGTTTGGAATCAGCGTCAGAGATTAGCGTTAGAGTTTTGATAAAGCTATCCGACGGTAGCCTTTAGCGTTAGCGTTTTCAGAATTAATCTGCACCGTTAAAATTTCATCCAAAACGCTGACGCTAATCGAAAACGCGGTTACCAAACAAAGCCTCTATCAATTTTGACCAACTTGTATCAGAACTTGTTTTTTCCTCATTTGAATTGCCATATGAGACCCGAAAAAGAAAAAAATCTCAGGAGTCTAGATAAGGAAAGCACCTTATGATTAAGGCTGCCACTCATTTTGTGTGGTCAGCCAAGGCATCATCCTTCTGAAAATGCAGATAGCGGTACGGACGGGCATTAACCGGTGCCACCCCTGGTTGAAGGAATATGCAGTGATCGGAAGCACGACGTGGTAGCAAGCCTATGGGCACAGCAAAAACCTGAGCAAAGGAATCCAACACTTGTTTTATGGGCAGAGGGATTTCGGCCAGGTGATCTGGAGTGACTGTGGACATAATCCTACTCAAAGTACCCAAGTAATACACTTCAAACCATTCTGACACCCGTCCTGCAGCTTGAAGAGAGTAGATCAAATTCTTGGGCACCGATTCAGGCATTACAGGCTCTCCCATAAAATTACCAGCTTATCCTGCCACGTGAACTCCATCCTAAGAGTGGAGTAGTCATGACCGACTCGCTCACGCGCCCGAACTGCTGTAAGCCTGTAACCATTTGACACATAGTACAATATCGGGGCCATGAATGTTCAAAACAAATAAGTCTTCTGAAAACTCGGTCCCCTGTAGATTTAGACATACAGCCACACACTACTTATCACAAAGTAAGTAATAGCCATTACCTACATATATGCGAAAGGACGGCATTGAGGAAACTGTTAACAGGAGCTTCGACACCAAGTCTGGATTTGCAAAATTATGTGTACTTCCCCCCTCGATCAGCGCATGGACATCTTGTGACCCCAGAGAACCCGTCAAACAGAGTGAACGAGGAGTAGCCAGGCCTGCCAGTGTGTGCAAAATTAAAATATCAACAGTCACAAGGCGTTCGGGATGTCAGCTGTTGGTACCATTGTGTCGGTGTGTCCCCATCTTGATCATCGTCGTTGTTGTCTCCGATGAGAAGCAACATCCAACCACAATAGTGAATTTTTGTCCATCCCTGGTCACAATTGTAACACAGGCCCTTGGCGTCCTTGTCTATTTTTTCAGCTCAGGTAAGGCGCTGAATTGTGCTGGGAGTAGTTGACGTCGTTGTGGTTTCCGGACCAGGCATGGATGTCAAGGGAACCTGGGGCTGATGTTGTCGCGGTCCTGTGTACGGTATCTTGGACTGCCCAGGTGATGCCCACGGTGGCGGCCACTGATTGAACTAAGGCCATATGTTTGGCCTCCATTTCCCAAGCCATCGCAAATGAATCAGAGAGTGTTTCAGGATTGAGCAAGGCGATCTCGTGACGTAAATGGGGTTTTAGACCCGAGTGAAATAAAGATATCAAATTTGCCTCGGATACCCCCCGTAACATGTTGCAAAATACCCTCTAAGGTGGTTTGGTACTCCATTACCATGCCCATTTGACATAGTTTAGCAAGTGGGCCAGAGTAATCCATATAATGCAATGGATCCTATGTTGCACGGAAACTCCATATAGGCTGCCGTACCCGTTTCGGACACCTTGGACACGCCGACACGCCACGGACACGCCTGGAGACGTCACGGAAACTCCACGTGGCGTTTCTGTAATTTTAATTTTTAAAAAAGAGAAAAAAACGCCAAGGAAACGGCTGGGACACGCGTGTATCTTTTGGGAAATGGCAGGGACACCTCTTTTAAAAAAATGGGGTTCTTTTTATAAATTTTAAAAGTTTTGGAACTGACTCAAATTATAAAAAGTATTATCTGGCCCTAAATCTTCATCGCTCCTCTATGTTACGCGGCTATCATATTCATCGACAATAGACAGCGGCCCTCGAAGAAGCTTTACGCAGCTGGTTGGCCAACTACTCGCCGACAAAGGGCGCGACATCAGGTGAAGTGCTCTCTCCAAATAAGCTTCTCGCCGACAAAGGGAGAAGCTTACGCCGCTGGTCAGTGACTTCTGGATTTTATGTTATGTATTTTGAACTTATTTATGCTTTAATATGTTTTGTAATGACTAAATTATGCTATCTCTTTGGAACTTATACTTTAATATGTTTTGTAATGACTAAATTATGATATGTCTTGTGAACTTATACTTTAATATGTTTTGTAATGACTAAAATATGTTATGTATTGTGAATTTGTTTACATAATTTTATTTATATATATAATTTATATATATAAATTTGGCATTTCCCCGGCGTTTCGTCTCTTCATTTTTTCAAAATAGCCGTTTCGGCGTGTCCGTTTCGTTTCGTCTCCGTCCCTGTTTCCGTTTCAGTGCTACATAGAATGGATCTAAACATAGTTTAAATTTGTCCACAGAATCATCCCAATTGGAAATAAGACCACCTTTCCAGCGCCATCAAAACGGATCTGCGGTGGCACCCTCAATCATAAGGGCGACACAACAGAGTCGTTCGGCAGCGGGCGCATATTTTTTATTCTATCTTCGTTTTTGTTTATTTATTTATCTGTGTAGTTAACTTGTTTATCTTTATGACCATCTTTTTTCGTTTCTTTATGATAGTTGTCACATCACTCACAATACTGCCTTTTGCTAAAGTCGGTGGTTTAGTTTATTTGAAACAGTATCAAACTCTTGTTTTGAATTAATATACGGAGTAATAAATTAGTAATCCACGTATTATATTTTTAAACTATATTGTATTCAAAATTTCAAATATTGCATACGGCTACTTGTTGCCTAGATAGCCTAGTTTCCCAGGCAACAACCTTCACAACATTTTGGGATGACAGGTCTTTCCCGTAATATTCTGTGTTAATGATGCATCGCCACCACCCATAACCAGGTTTTTCATTTTTTTAATTCCTTCAATCCCATGAAAGAACAAAAAAGAGTTAATTAGATAATCTATGTGAATTCCCATATCAAAAACCAACCCTCATGTTTCCATGGTAATATACTGGAGTAATATGTATTGGTTGCCACTGGATTCCTAAAAGAATAATTTGGTGAGTAGAGCAGCAGGGTTCAATGGCTGCAAATGGAAATGATAGTTAGCATTTCAAATTAGAGTTCAAACAAGAGACTTCAATATTTAGGGATGTATTTCTGATCATTTATAGGGACACTGATTTTTTGGTTGTAATAGGAAGTAAGAGAGTAAGACACTAAAGTTTTTGCGGTTGTTTGACTAGAGTTTGCATAATTCTGAAATGGGTCTCCGGTTATCCCCTTCTCTGTTATAGCTTTAATAGTTGCAGAGTATCTTTCAGATCTTTTTTTCCCCATTTTATCTCATGGATGTTTAAGAATTTAAGTGTTTGCTGCACCTGCATTTTTTAAATGCTTTTTTGTGGGGGGTGGGGGTGGGGGGGGGGGGGGTTATGAATCAGTTGAGTTGCTTTGCAAAGTATCAATCTATTCATTGAAGTGGAAACACTTTTGCAGATATCGTGTGTAGGCGGCTTTGGCTCTAATGCACACATGTATAAGATCAATGGAACAGCCAACGTAGATGCTATAAGAGCTGCTGCTGAAGAAGGTATTACTAAGAACCTTATCAATTATGATACATCTTATCTTGCTTCATTAAATCGTCTATTGTTTCATAAGATCTGCTTGTGCCCCTGTAAAGAAATTCTAGAAGTGAAGGGTTTTTTATGTTCAAGTCCAAAAAGTGATCCAGGATAAGCCATAAGTCAAAGTAAAGCTTCCTCATGTGTGATTCAGTTCTGCCACTGTGAAACTTTTTCTTGGAGCCATGGGTAGGCACTCTATAAGTCTCTATTGCTTGAGTGCTCTATGCATTTTGAAGCACTTAGTGGTCTGAAATGCGTATGATGTAGAACTTAGGCAAGAAATTCAGTGTTTGGCAGCATATGTTCTTATCATCATCTGACAAGGAGTTACTCTCTAATACCTATCAAAGAAGAACAAAAAAAGTAAAGTACTGTGACCGACTACTAGAAACTCTAGCATTTTATGATTTGATTTATTTTATTCATTTATGAACTATTAATTGACCACAAACTGAACTATTCATATCTGTTTCACCAATCTACTGAGTATTATACTCCCGGTGTCCCTGTTTTAGGCTTTCAGTATCAGGTTTTACCGGGCACGCCATTGAAAATAGTGTTGATAAGTGAGTGCATGGTTGAATTTTGTTTAGAAGAGAAAAATGTTGTGAATCACATATTCCTTTCTTTAAAAGGAAATTAGAGATTATAATTAGACGGAGGAAAAAGGAAAGGGTGAAGTTAAAATATGGACGGATGGAGTATATATTTATTATAATTTATGATCGACCTCAAATTATACTTTCCACAAACAAGCTACATAGTATCATAGTCTATGTCTTGTAAAATTTGAACTTAGTCAGAAGATGCTTCAACATATTAGTTCTCATGTTTGAAGTGTCATTTGTAAATATTCTGCCTGTAGTGCCTGAACACTCGATTGCTACAAGTAGAACACTAAATGGTAAAGTTTACCTCCTATCCTGACTGGACAGCCAAACCTATTTGTATCCATGTAATCGACAATTTATCCGTGTCCATGATTTTTCATATAGAAAACCAATACCACTATACAAGGATACCGTATTATTTTATGTCTCAGAACACTGACAACACCATCCCAATCTCCCTCACATTAGTCACATTGGGGTTTGTAAAAATTGACTAATAACAATCACTATAAATGACAATGGAATTGGTAGGACTGGGAATACTCCAATGAAGCAACTTTTCTGAATCCAGCAGGTCTTTAATATCTCCTGGGATTTGAATATTTGATAGTGGCTCCTCTGTCCTACCTGGAAAAACATTAGCATTGGGATGGGTCCACAACAACAACAACACAGTAGAATCCCACATAAGTAGGATCTGCGGAAGGTGTCTGTACGCATACCTTACCCCTACAAGAAAGTAGAGAGGCTGTTTCCAAGAGGCATTGGGATCCATGGGAGACTAACTTGGGTTACACGTGTTGCGAAATACAATATATATTTTTACTGATCCATTGTATCACATGTTTCCATTTTTCGGTTCAGGAGTAAAAAGATTTGTATACATTTCGGCTGCTGATTTTGGCTTTGTGAATTACCTACTACAAGGTTATTATGAGGGAAAGGTATGCTTTGTTTTTAATACGTTTTTTTTGCAAATAGAGGGGGTCATATTTTTGCACTCTTTCCATAACAAATGTGACTTTGCTACTTAAGTATTCTATGTAGGCTCAGCATAATCACATCGGTGTTAATTGTCATGCGGTCATTAATAATTGCTTCGGAACTGATTTTCTGAAGTTTATGGCTGAATGCAATCCCATTATAGTACATTGTTTAAAATGAGCTGACATGAAGAAACTCAAAGAACGAGCTGCTTGCTACTTGTTTGTGAATGCACATGACATTTGAAAGAAATCAGTTATAATTAAATGGCATATATTCATTGATATTAGAGTATTACATTGTGCATTTTCTTATTTCTATTTTCTTTTCCTTTATCCCAACTCCCTAAGAATATGATAGAATACCAATGCGTGAGATGATGGATGATTTGGAGAAGTTAGAGAAATATTAGGAATTATATTCATTTGTTTATTTATTTTTTATTTTATCCTACATATTTTCTGTTATGATTGTATTAATAATTGTATTTGTTAATTTTTAGGTAGTTAGGGCTTGTTCTCTTCACGTGATTTGATTGTTTCTGATTTGATTGGAATAAGTTTTGATTTGGTCTCTCTGATTGTAGTTGTATTTGAATTTGTTTTTGATCTAATCTGATTCCAATAAGAATAATAAGTAATAAAAATAAGTTGTAGAAAACAAGCTCTTTTTCCCATTATCTGAGTTGTGGATTAATGGGGTAGTCTTAGGAGTGTTTGTAGGGACTAGGGAATCAATTGTCATGGTCCAAGGAAGTTATCTAGGTTTTATTCATCTATTCTAAATGTATTCCAGTCTTATAAATAAGACGGTCGTATGAGAAGTGTAACACAGCTTAAGAAGTAAGCATATAGTTTTATCCAATTGGAGATTCTCCTCTTGTGGGTTATTGAGATAAGTATGGTGAGATTATTGCTTTTTTCAATCTTAATAGAGAACAATCCTTGGCTTTGTTAGTCCAATGAGTTCAAGATACTTGCTTACCCCCTAACAAAGATTTATCTTCATCTTTATTGTTTTGTGACATTAGATTCTGATTTCATGAATTAATAACGATATATCCTTTTTATTTCCCCCCACCTATTTTGGTTCCTATCAGAATATAACCTTCTCTTCTCCTAATACAAACTTGTCCTTTATCACATGTTGCAGAGAGCTGCTGAAACTGAACTTTTGACCCGATATACCTATGGAGGTGAGTTTCTTACATTTATATGTAGTGAAAGCTGAAACAATATTTTTTTCGTGTGACTCCAGAAATTGTATCCTATAAGTGAAGACTACACACAAGTACACAATACATGCACAATTTGCACACACAAATGTCACCTCACCAGTCAGCACAATGGCTTTAGCAGTTAAGCTTTTAGTTAATGTGTAGAAACATGGTTATCAGTACAAGCAGTGTTGTTGGTTGGATCCTATACAGTATACACTAGTATCATCAAATGGTTTGCACTTGTTCAGTTTGAAAAAATCGGTCCCAAGTTAAGGGGGATATGCTATGGATCACTACATATTGGAAATTGATATATTTTACATGTCTTCCTTATCTAACCACTTCAAAGTTTAGTTTAGTGGACCAGATCATGTGCAAACGCTTGTACAATGACTGAACTGTACCAACCAATTAGCTGGTTTCAATATTGTTTGGTTGGTAAAAAACAATGGTTTTAGGACTTGTTTCACTGTTTGCATTCAATTCCTCAATCTAAAATAGTTGTGTGAAATCTTTGGGATTGCTTGACATGCTAACCTCTTTGTGATATAAATCGAATTCAGCCGTCTTCTGAATTTACTTTTCACTATAACATATGCCCTCGCCCCCCCCCCCCCCAAAAAAAAAAAAATCATATTTACTATTTACATGCTCAAATCATACTTTCCCTAAATTTTCATTGATAATTTGTTGAAATTTTTATTTTTAAATTCTACACCAATGAATATAGCTTCAGCCATACATCTTAAAAGACCTAAACTGTAATCGTAAACCGTAATGGGATGATTTTTGTGGGACAGAAGGAGCATTAACATTTCACTTATTTGGTGGCTGTTTGCATGCTTTGGCGTCCTATTTAGCTAACTTTTTTTATTGTTCCTCTTATTTTAATCATCATTAACTCTTTGCTAACAATGCTGAAGTGCTTTTACCCTTTAGTTCCCACAATTGACAAAACTTATACGAAGTTGATATCTTGTCTTAATTGGATTTTCCTAAATTGGATTACAGTTGTTGAAATGTTTAACATTATCATTTTATCATTAGAAACATTTGTTTTGCATTCTTTTTCTCAACCATACAAGCTTTTTTTATTTTGTTTAGGCGTGATTTTATTTAGGCAACCTAATCGATTTGAGAAATTGAGATTATGGCTTGGTTCTGTATTTAGGTGTGATTTTGAGACCTGGATTCATCTATGGAACTCGTCGTGTCGGGAGCATGAAATTGCCCCTTGGTGTAGTTGGTTCTCCTCTTGAAATGGTAATTGGCTTTTCTTTGGTCTCATCTTTTTTTTTCCAGCTGCCTATCCTCTAGAGATTGTAATTTTGTTAGTGTTTTGAAGCTGATTGGCTTTGAAAAACTTAATTTGGAGCAGATGCTAAAATTATGCTTTAAGTAAGAAAAGGTCTTTCTATAGCCCTCTAACATGGCCAGAACACACCCGTGATGTCTGAGCATATGTCCTTCTAAAAGTGTATGTTTGGGATCAACTTCAATATTTGGCTTTAACATTTTAAAAGGGCTATCTAATGACAACACTTAGCTTTAACGTTTTCAATGTTAAAAAATGGTCCAAAATGCTAACTGAAAATGTTGTTCCCAAGCAAGACTTAATTTGGCATTAATCTATTCTTAACACTGTATGTTTTATCATATCCAGACTTCACTGGCAGACATTCATCATTAATATATCCCATTGCAGGTTCTCCAACATGCAAAATCATTGAACCAACTTCCTCTTGTGGGCCCTTTGCTCACTCCTCCCGTTAACGTCACTGCAGTGGCAAAAGTAGCCGTTAGAGCAGCTACCGATACGGTCTTCCCTCCCGGAATTGTCGATGTCTATGGCATTCTACGTTACAGTCAACAGAAGTCTATATAGAAAGCTCTTTTTATGAAGAGCAATAATGGCAACANCCCCCCCCCCCCCCGAGCAGCACATGCAATGTTAATAAGTTGATTTTTTGCTACTACCAGGATATTGTCCAATCTATGTTATGGTTTTTACTTGATGGATAAAAATACCCTTATAGTACTAAAAGCACACATGTTATTAATGGCCAGTACATTGCACAATTCAGGAAGGAGGACATTGTTGAACCGGGTAAGTGGGATGTTGCCCTAGTTTGTTGCATGTTGGGAGCTAATCCTTCAGTTCAAGTTAAAGTTTTTTTTTTAAAATTATTATAACGAATATGGAAAAGATATGCTATTGATAATGTTACCTTTCTAAAGGAAGGTTAGTTTGTGGTCCCTTTTTCAGAAAGTGGAAGACATATATGATTAGATGTGATTGTTAAGAGAAAATATTACTTCATAGATAATAAATCAGTCTATGTCTAGAAATGTAAAAATTTATTCTTAAGTGACACAGGTTTTGTTGAAACAATTTTCAAGTAAGTAAAAAAAAGACAACATAAATCGTTAAATTTTGTTGTAATTTGTACAGTAGAAAATAATCTTTTTGTGTTTATTGAGTTGTGTCTCTACAAGAGTTCTCTCCAAATGAGTGGTTATTATGACTCTTATTGGGCTAGTTGTCCTTTGACTCGCCATTCTGTCTCTGATTATTTTATACAACTAGGAGACTCTCCTATCTCTCTTGGCGCACGAAAAAAGCAGAAAATTGTGTCTCGTTCATCTGCTGAAGTTGAATATCGTGCTATGGCTACTACAGTTTGCGAATTAAAATGGATTCGGTCCCTTTAGACATTTAGACAGATACTTTTTAAAGCGAGAGACAAAATTATCATCATTACCAGCAATAACTAGATCATCCACATAGATGAGTACCTGAATTTCGATTGATCCGCGAACAAGAGTGAAGAGAGTAATCGGCCTTAGACTGATCGAACCCATAAGCTCGGAGGGCAGTTGTGAGCTTGGCAAACCAGCACTTTGGCGCTTGCCGAAGCCCATATAGAGATTTATGCAAGCGGCAAACAAGTCCTTGTTTACGAGAGCCGAACCCCGAGGGAAGCTTCATATAGATCTCATCCTTGAGGTCTCCATGAAGAAAGACATTGTGAACATCCATCTGATGACTGATGGAGACTCCACTGGTGAACCGCAGCCACTGCAAGGAGAGCTCGAAGAGTGACAAGTTTAGTGGTAGGAGCGAAGGTCTCCTTATAATCAATCCCTTCCTTTTGGCGGTTGTCAAGAATCACCAGTCGTGCTTTGTACCATTCAATGCTACCATCAGACTTATGTTTGATTTTGTACACCCACTTAGAACTAATAGCCTTCTTATGGGGTGGAAGTGGAACGAAGAACCATTTTCCATTAGCTTTCAAGGAGTCAAGTTCATTTTTCATTGCTTCCCTCAATTGTGAATGTTTAACGGCCTCCGAAAATTGTGTGGGTTCCTCATCTGCATTAATTGCTGCCAAAAAACATCTATAGAAAAGAGAAAAGTTATCATAGTTAACAAACTTAGTTATGCAGTGAGCAGTACCTGAAGAAGGCAATGGAACGGAAGTACAAACAAGTGTACTATGTATGGTGTGCATGACAAAGTCTTGGAGATGTGCTGGGAGGTATCAGACGGTGCAAGGGTGGGCTCAGTGTCCTGCGCCGGAATTGATTCGGGGTCTGTGGACATAGGAACTGGTTCATTAGGTGGAGGTGTATCGATGAGGATTGGTGTGGGTGTGGTGATGAATGGAAAGGTTGTTTCGACAAACTTTACATCACGACTCACAAAAATCTTATTTGTTTCTAAGTCCTGTAGTCGCCATCCCTTTTGTGCGAAAGGGTAACCCAAGAAGAGACATCGACGCGATCAACTTGCAAATTTATCGCCCTTATGGTTTTGATTGTGAGCGTACGTAAGGCAACTGAAAGTACGGAGGTGAGTATATGAAGGGGTTTGACCAAAAAGAAGTTCATAAGGAGTTTTGCTCTGTAGAAGAGACGATGGAGTTCGGTTTATGAGATAGGCAGCCGTTAGAATACAATCGCCCCAATTTTCTTGTACGTAGATTTGCTTGCAAACGGAGCGCACGTGCTACATTGAGTATGTGTCTGTGTTTGCGTTCGACTCTCCCGTTTTGTTAGGGAGTGCCGACACAGGAGGATTCAAAAATTATTCCATCGGAAGCAAAGTATGTTTTCATGCATGTGAACTCCGTCCTGTTGTCACTACGGATTCTTTTGACATTTGTGTCGAATTGTCGTTGGACAAGGGACAGAAAATTGTGCACAAAAGTAGATGTTTCATCCTTGTGATTTAGGAGATACACCCAGGTTGCACGAGAAAAGTCATCTAGTATAGTTAAAAAATTCTGGCCCCTATCCGAGAAGCAATTCTATACCCACACCACAAATCACAATGAATCAAGAAAGAGGGAACATGTGATTTATTAGAACTGTCAGGAAATGAGTCACAACATTGCTTAGCACAAAAACAAACATCACAAGGTATAGAAGATATTGATGAATGACTAGAAAGAAAAGGTAAAAAACGACAGATCTCAGGAGATGGATGACCCAGACGTTGGTGCCACACTGCAAAATCCTTTGTCTCCCTCACAACAAAAGCCTTGTCATGCACCTCCTATTGGAAATAAAAGAGGCCACCCGTTTGTTCACCCGTTCCAATCACCGTCTTCGAGATACAGTCATGTATAACATAAGCTTTATTAGTAAACTGGATAATTAATCTTTTTTCGCCAAGAAGTTGAGAGACAGAAATTAAATTGCAGTTGAGCTTAGGAACTAGCAAAACATTCGTTAGTTTTAACGAGCCACTTAGGCACACAACACCCTTCTCTACGGCATCGGTACCCTGGCTGTTGGAGAGACCGACCCTGCATATATTCATGGGTCAAATGTTCGTCAACCATCTTCTGTCTCCAGTCATGTCCTGACTTGCTCCACTATCAATAATCCAAGAGTAATTATCTATACCTGAAAACTGGTTATCAATCTACACATTGGCTTGGGCGACGAAGGGCTCAGTCACTGCCTTCTCTATGCGATTCGCGGTACCCCGGCCCGTCCGGCGGATGCACCCCCCTGCCGCCGCGCTTGTTTTGGTTCATCCCACTGTAGCGGCCACCCCCGCGGCCTCCGTTCTGCATGCACGGTCGATCAGCCCACCATTCGGGGTAGCGTATGATTTGGAAGCACCCACTAATCTCGTGTCCCGTTTGTCCACAATGTTTACATTTGAGATTGTTATCTCGCGTGGGTCTCCCGTTTTTCATCTTCAGCACCCCCTCTTGCTGCGTTATTATAGAGTGTACACGATTGATAGGGGCAAGAGGTTCGGTACTCAAGATGTTCGACTGTACCCCATAGCCTTCAATATCGAGACCCATCAAAAATTGATGGACCTTTTCTTCGTCCCGTTGATTCTCCAATTGTGCAGTGAGTCCACACTTGCAACCACCACACTTGCAAGTAGACACCTTCAACAAATCATACAATTCATCCCATATAGCTTTCGGCTTGCCATAATGCTTCACGATCTCTTGACCGTTTTGTTTACAGTTTGCTAGTTCTTTCTTCAGCTGATGGATTCGCGGCCCGTTCGCCACAGATAATCTTGCCTTGATATTGTTCCACAGATCTACAGCAACCTCCACTTGAGTGATGGAGTTACGCAAACTCGTTTCTATGGTGTTGTAGATCCACGAAATGAGCATAGCGTTTACGATCCACCATTCTTCTTCTTTGTCAAAATCATCCTCTGGTCGTTGAATGGACCCATCAATGAATCCAAATTTCTATTTGGCACACAGAGCTATCCTCATGGCTCTCGCCCATTCTTCATAGTTTCTTCCAGTGGCGGATGTACTTCATAAGAGTTGGGGGCTAGTGCCCCCTACTAAATTTATTTTTTAAGTTAAAATAATTTTTTTAAAAAATTATGTATGTGTGCCCCCAACAAAAATTAATAAGACCCCATCTAATTAAGATGGTTTTAAAGTTTTTATTTAAGTTTTTTAGTAAATTTTATTTCCTACATACTTCCTCTTTTTCTTAAAACAATTTCTCTTTCATTTTTTCCCCTAAAACACTTTCATTTTTGTAAAAAATGACTAATATATCTAAATTAAGTCATTTAAAAGATTTGTAAAAAATGACTAATTTGGATTGATAAAATAAGTCACTTAAAAGATTTGTTTCTCTTTTTTCTTCGATAATAAAAATATAATTAGAAGGTCAAACTACGAAAATAAATCCTTCCCAAGTCAAAACAGGAATGTTCGAAACAAAATTTATTACTCCGGTATTTTTTTTTCAATTCATATTGTCTATTAAAAAATCCATGAGCATTGTCCCCGGACCCCCGACTAGTAATGCCCCCATCTAGCTAAAATCCTGGATCCGCCACTGGTTTCTTCCAGTGAGTTTCACTTGCGTAATTAATAAGCACGTTGTGTCCACCGATTTCAGGTCATACGGACTCGCCTTCGTTTCCCGTTGTTCGTCGTTTGGCACGTCGTGTACGGCTGCTTTCTCCCATGGGGTTTCCTCCGTCTTTGGTTCGGTCATCTTCCTTGATTAGCGTCTAGGGTTTCAGAGGTCCGAGGTATCTTGCTCCGATACCATGTAGAAAATATTAAAGGAAAATAATCTTTTTGTGTTTATTGAGTTGTGTCTCTACAATCATCTACCTCTCTTTATATGGAAAGAGGTCAACATAAACTAGGAATGGCTAAACAAATCTATTCCAATCATAACTAGGAATGTATATACAATAATAAAGGGAAACAATCAAACCGAATCCCTTCCACAACCGTGTCTCCCACGTAACATAATTATTCGGAGACATTTCATCTATTAATCCATTCATAGGTGATAAAAAACACGCTTTTCCTATTTTACCCTATATGTGTTATGCTATTAACACTCAGATCCCTCACTTTTTTTCTTTGTTTCCTTTTTTTTCTGCTTTAAAATATTTTTCAAATTTTTATAGAAAATTATTCCAAAAGTACAATATTGTTTGTAAGATATAAAAATATAAATGAAATAAAATAGAGCAATTTGTTTTCCTACAAAGTCATCAAGGTTCTTTTTAATACTTTGTACGGAGTATAAGAAATTAAGAAAAGATTTTATTTTCTTTTTTGAAAAAAAATAAAAAAATAAAAAGTGAAAAGAGACCCCATATAATTTCGTCCTTGTTTCTTCGTATATCTTCAACGTCGATTGTTTCTTCTGCATAGATTGTCATGACACAGGTCTATTTACTTTCTCTTACTTGTTTTCATTCATAGATTAAAAAAAACGTATTTTCAAGAACTTTTATTTTATGTTTTTCAAAATTTAAAATCGTTAATGTCTCAAATAAAAATAACATATATGTCATCAATCTCAATAAAAAATAAATGACAAGAATATTTTATTTTATCAAATAATCAATGGAGACGTAAAAAAACAAAAGTTCATGTGATTTTTGAATAGTGAACTGTGGCACTCTTTTTTAGACGAAAGGAGTATCATTTTGGTACATAAATTTTATTTCCTTTCGCAAAAATACCTGAAGTTTGAAGAAATTTCACAAAAGTACCTGAAGTCGGTTTCCAAATTAGTGTCAGGTCACTTTCAATGTAATTACAATTTTATATACTACCTCCGTCCCAGAATATTTGTTCACTTTCATTTTTACACACCATCCAATGCACTTCCTTAATCCATTTTATCTTGTAATTTGTATATTAAAAAATTATAGAAATTATATATTAATAATCTATATGTTAATACAAATCAACCAAGATCACACATGACTATATTTAGGCTTACACATTAAGAGAATTTGATGAGTCAAAGTACTTAGATGAACAGTTCCCAAAGTCAAAACAGGACGAATACTCCGGGACGGAGAAAGTATTTCTTACTTCGTATTTTTTATTTTGATCCCACCTTTTTTCATTTTCTCATATTTTCTCCCCTTTCTTCTCTAAAAAGGGTGCAAGTGGGGTTGCGGAAGAAGAAAGGGGCCGGAGTCTAAGAATAAAGGAAAAATGGCAGGGTCAAAATTTAAAATTCAAAATATATAAAATTGCAACTACGCACAAAGTGACCTGAGAATAACTTAGAAACCGGCTCCAAGTATTTTTGTGAAATTTCTTCAGAGTTTACGTATTTTTATGAGAGAAAATTAGGCTTAGATTCCAAAATGATATATTGCTCAAAGTTTGAGTAACATTGGTGAAATTTAGCCCGATGTTAATGAATTGAAGGACATACACATCTCATCATCTCGATCCAATTTGCTGATTTGGAAATAAAGTGTTGGAGTCTATCTAGCTTTGTAAATTGTAACTCAACCAAAAAACTCAAACTTGTCTTTTAAGTTTTATATATACTCTAACAGGTCCCCTCACGTGCGGTCGTGACTTCTTTGAATCTTGCACGTAAAACCTTAATTTTAAAAAAAAGGTGGCAGTGAATTTCAAATTCGTAATCTCTTGGTCATCAAGGCTTTGATACCATGTCAAGAAACTAACTCAAGAAATCAACTATGAACCGTCACCTATTTTATGTAGGAAAAGACGTAATCCTACTCAGAATATCCAAGGCAAAAGAAAATTAATTTGAAAGCCTATGGAAGATCAAGAGAATTTTGGAAACCTAAATAAAGATTTTATTGAGGCCGGGCATTTTCTCTTATACTATAATTGGGTGTTGAAAAACTAGTGTTGAACAGCCCTGATAAACAAAGAAATGTTGAAACTTGATTAATAGTACTACCTCCGTTCCAGAGTATTTCTCTATTTTCATTTTTACACATCATTCAATGCACTTCTTTAATCCATTTTATCTTGTGATTTGTATATTAAAAAATTATAGAAATTATATATTAAAAAATTATAGAAATTATATGTTAAGACAAATCAAACATCACACATGACTATATTTAGACTTACACATTGAGAGGATTTGATGAGTCAAAGTACTTAGATGAACAGTTCTAAAAGTCAAAATTGGACGAATACTCTGGGACAGAGGGAGTATAATATTACTACTTTGGGTATGTTGGAAACTATTAGATACCTCAATGCCCCAATTGGAAACTAAACTTCAGAGGTGCAAGAAAAGGATTAATGTCGACAAATTGGAGCACCTCAGTGCCCCAATTAGAGCTAATGTCATCCTATGACATTAAACTCCAATGTCATGGGAATCAAAGTATAAATTTTTTCAAAAACTAACACAAGTTACAACTTACAAATGATATTTCCAAACAAAGTCTTAACCTATGAAGTAGAAAGTTTTATTGAAAAACAAAAAGAGAAGAAAATAAACTAGCAAGAAGATTTCATATTAGATTCTTGAAAAATAAAATGAAAAAGGGAAGTACCAGATAATTTCTTCTAAAGGGAAATGTTAAAAAAAAGTGCATTTTGAAACCACTGTAATAACAACAGAAGTTGTAATGTTCCATGTTTTGGAGGTTGAGTGAAAAAACACTACTACAAACTTCAATTTGTCAAGGACTAATGCTGTTAAACTGTGGACTAGTACACTTTGTACCAAAAACTATAAACATCAGTTCTCCAAGAATCTCCATTCAATCTATGGGAGGAAACCATGATGGGAACACAGACAAGTTGAGCAAATATAAAAATTTTAATCATCATGATAGATGCCACCATCATCATCATTTGGTTGAGCCTCAGAATCATCAGATCCTCCAAGGAGAGAAAGGAATACCAAAACTGCAACCAGCTGAGTAACTAGAAAATACTTTGCCCTCCGTCGGAACTTCTTCTCTTCTTCAGTCCTTTTCTTTTGAGGCTTGGTTTTGGGCTTTGAACCTGAGGCAGGAGAAAATTTTCAATAGCATATAGATATAAAGTATTACAATCTTTTATATGGAATGCTGGAAAAAAGGTGCAAAAACAGCTACACTTCAATGCTACGGGTAATTTTCATAGTTGTCCTCAGTTTCTTGTATATTTGAAACCGTTCTGTACAAGATGGGTCCGACTAGATAGTTGTCAGTTTCATCTAGTTTTCTTCGTTCCAATAGTTTGAAGAACGAATTAAAGAAATTCAGTATGTGTATCTCTGGTTTGGCTTTGTTGGGATGATGGCCAGGATCCATGCAAACGAAGATCCAAATCGGGAAGATGTGTGTGGCTGGGACTCTGCCCGCAGATCTAAGAAACCTCTCTGCCTTGGCCGTGTCCAAAGTGATAGACAAAGGCCTCCTCAGACTACTGCTGAATCTGGCTGACAATCCTTTATTGTCGACTGTCAAGAGTGTGGTTTAATTTTTACTTGAGTTCAAAGCAGTTAAGGAGCAGTAGAGATGAAGGTTTCAATGTCTGGAAATAAAATTACACAGCCTTGTTGGAGTGCTTAAAGCACACTTCGCTCACTTTTTTACTCCAGTGCTGTAAGTGACAAATGAAAAAAGGCCTATGGTCTCTACTACTAACATGGAGGGGTTCAAAAACTTTACCCGTAGTTGGGGTTGCTAATAATAATTGCCAAAACCACATGGGGTTTCAGGAAAATTACTATCAATGAACATGTTCATATGCCATTATCAAAGTCATATGCTCATAAAAAAAAATTGTTAACAGAATCATTGCCAAACAGTTAGGTTTAATATGATTTTCTTTTTCAACTAGTTCTCACATGAATATATCAACAATGCCCCCATACTTTCGGAATCAATTTAATCTATCAAGATAAGGATGACGATCAACTGGTTCTCATGTCTTTTTAACAAAAACTTATAATCTTAAAAACATTACTAAAAGGTTTTAAAGAGGAGAAATAAAAAGGGCATATAGGATGGATTAGATATTTAGATTATCAGATGTCAAATAGACTACTGTTAAGGTTTTAGAAAATAGAACTAGCATAGAATAAGCGAAACAGATACAATGAGAGAAAGAGAGGAGTTGAAACTTACTCCAATTTGAACTACGTCTTGAAGTTGATGAAGAAGGATCAGTATGCAATACAGATACAGACGGAGATTCATTTGCATCTATGAACTGTATTTTAAAAATTTCTGTGTATCTTACAAGATTGTCAAACTCCAAGAGCTTGCTTCTTAGCACTGAAGTATCCTGTATGGGAATAGTAGCAAATGTGTAACACAAAAATAGGCAATGATCATTATCGGTCCTGAAAATCAGTCCTGAAAATATCAAAACTAAAAACAGAAATACCCAAATAAAAAGTTAAATGCCATAATCTGATAAAATTAGGTGATACAGAGTACTCATTTAATATTTATAAATCTATTAGGGCCAACAACAGCAACAACATTACCCCGGTGCCTCAAAGGCTCCCGCGCATTGTGGGGTGGGGGGTCGGATGTACGCAGCCTGACCACTATGTTTAAGACATAGAGCGGCTGAAATCTATTAGGGCCAAGAAAAAGGAAATAAAAACTGCATGGGATCTAGAACTACACAACTTAACAGTCCAACCGACACAAGGTATTGCATCATAAAATTGGTAAAATATAATTTCAATCTATATTTAGTTGGACACAATCCACTATTTCCCATTCTTGTTTAATGTGATCAACCAAATGGGCTGCTGATCCCATCAATATTAGCACAATAGGTGCCTAAGATTATCATATTGCAGCAATCAGTGTAGCAAATTATTATCCCATCACCAAGTAGAATGATTGGTTTAGCATAAGAAACATAACAAAATGCACTCAAATAGTTGAAACTTACAGGTAAGGCATATAGTGTAATAAGTGCATGCCCAAGAAAAACAGCATCTAAACTTGTTGGCCTAGATAACAGCAGTTGTCAGTGCACACCAGTGGGCAGAAAACGTTTGCTAGGAAAAATATCTAAATTGAAGCCTGTTAGAGCCGTACATATATAACATACTTCCTATGTCCCAATAGACTTTGCCAATTTTAAATGAGCATATGGATTTAAGAACTTGAAAATTGTGATAAGTCTGTTTTGTGATGGTTAAGTTATTGGCATAGTTTGAAGAGCAAACAATTATATATTAATGTTTTATCTAAAATTTATCATTTTTAATGTTTTCGGTCACAAAAAGCGAGATTTAGTACGTACTTGTAATTGGTCAAAGTTGGGAGTAAAACAAGTTACTTTTCAATAGAAAATTAATTTTAGCTCATCATCGGAGCCGAATCTGGAGCTAACACAGGAGAAAAGTGTTTAAAATAAGGTTGCAATGAAAATTGGAGCAAAGGCGGGGAAGGCGAGCTGGAAGGCGCCCGCCTTGGGTACGGAGGCAAACAAGCATAGTAGAGGCCAGCAAATTAAGCTGAGGCGAGGGGGAAGGTGCCTGCCTTCCAGCCCCCCCTAAGATTCAGAACCGGCGTGGAGACAGGGAATCAAACAGGACACTAAAATCAGGTGGAGGCAAGCTGGAAGGCTCCCGCCTAGGGCAAATTCGAGGGTATAAATATGGGCAAATCTCACTTGCTTCACATCACTGAAAAAGCCTTAGTTCCTCTACTTGCACGAAAATATTCCACAAAAACCCTCTCTTTGACAAAAGTATAAAGTTCCTTGTAAGCTTTCCCTTTTGTTAGTGGGAGATTGTTTAAGAAGTTTAAGTTGTTGTTCATATTCTACCCTCTGTTATTGTAATAGTTATCATTTTATTGTCATTAATAGAATATTATTTTTATTATTATTTCTTTTTTAGCACTTAGTTATTGAAAGAGTTATTATTGTTAGGTAAAAATAATGGCCTTTGTGGCTAAGTTAATTTTAGGGTATGAATTTAGTTATAGTCATGGGCATATTTAACACAACTTAGAGGTAAATTTAGATCTTAATTTAATTAATTGTTTTAAAATGGGAATTATGTAATTAATGAATGTGGCTAATTTATTCATTGATCCTTAGTGATTATCAATTCAGCTTGTCTATGAGTTAGAAAAATAATATAGCCAACCATTTTTAAAGACATCGACAAGGCCTAGAAATACAATAACATAGTGAAAGAGAATTAATTTTGTGTGTGAAATTAATTCAAGAATCCAATTAAATAAGATTAGCAATCTCTGTTTTAGGAGTATTGTTGCCCGTGTACTTGATTCAATTTATACCTTGATTCAAGTAGATAATTGTTATTTCATTGTTTTATTTATCATTTGCACTCCATGATTAATCAACTTAATCTAAAAAATTGACTTTAGTTATGCAACTTTTGAGTTGGCATTTATCTTGCAATTTAATTATTGTACACACTTTTTAGTTAATATTTTTATCTGAAATAAAGAAGTATTAACAATTACTTTCCTTCTCCAATCCTTTGAGAGATGACCCGACGACTCTTACACGAATTATTATTCACTTACCGGTGTACTCTGATAGTCAAATTGTGTGGTTGAGATTTATTTAGATGATAGAGAAGCATAGTGAACACTGACCACAAATTTATTTCCTTAAAAGGAAAGTCATTAAGTATTTTGGGATGAATAAAAATTTAACAGTTGGCAAAGTCAATCAGGGTGGAGGGACTACATAACTAACCCCAATCCCGCACAACACGAGAGAGAGAGAGAGAGAGAGATAATTGTTTGGTGAAAAAAAGAAACCACCTCTCAATGAAAAAGGATTGGTCTCTTAACATTGTTGACAAAGCGCTATAAGCAGTGGAAGCTTTCCTGTAAATCTGTGGCAAGTTGCAACAATTTTAAAACAACCTGTCCATTAGTTTCTGCATGAGAATAAGAGTCATAAATAGAGCTTAACTTGTGTGTATATCTGTGTGTAGAGACAACCACCCTTTAGCTCATTTATGTCCCTTTGTGAACTTTGCTTTATTGACAGAAAAATAAATATAATACCCAGAGTACTTACTTCTTCTTCTATTTTATCAGCATTCTCAGATGTTATCCCAAGATGTTGTTTTGTAGCGTGAACTTGCTTAAGGTATAGAAGTTTTCCTATTGGCCAAGGAAGATCAGAATAATAAATCTGCACAGAACTCACATCAGATCCAACCCAGAGTTCAAACAAAAGAGCATCCGCAAGCCATGAATCCGCCATAGCCATCGTTGATGCCCATTCTGGAATGTGGCGTACTGCAGAGTCTAAATCATCGATCATACCGTCATCCTTTAAACTCTGAATGACACCACCCTTTTCATTATTGTAGGCCACATAAGTTCCATACTCAACATAAGGTATTTGATCTGTCAATTGCGTAGAAGACCTTATCAGCTTACATAAAAAACAAAGGTAATAATTAAACAAAATACAAGTTTTTCAGTTGACTCATTGATGAAGAAATAATATCACTCCAGTAGAGCACATCTGTCACATTTTATTTGTCCTATCTTATAGTTCAATGTCTATTTTAATAATGTTAAGACCATTGCCTTTGAATTTCTTAAACAATTTTGACTACATATGTCCCATTTGTGGGATAGTTTTGGAAAACACACGGCTTATTTTGTTGCATTATAACTGCACTAAAACAAATGTCCCTTATGTTTCTGAAGAGATGGGGTGATAAGCATAAGAACAATTCTGTGTTAAGGATTTAAGGGGAACATTTCAAACTTATTGAAGTTATTACTTACTTCGTTTAACAAGATGAATCCTCAGTGTGTGCAAAGACATCTTCAATAAAAAAAGAACTAACAGTTTATCAAAGGTTGAAGTAATACACAATATGCAACAACTATTAAAGTTCTCCATTTCATAATAATATCAGAAGAGCCAATGCTCCTTTAAGCCACTATAAAAAAGTGTGAAACTTTTATGGCATAACCATTCCACTCATCTCAAACAGTTCACTACTCCAACTTTATACTAACTGGTTTTTTTGTCAAAAACAGTGTTACGGTCCAAAACACTACAATAAATGCTAAAGTCAAGTTGGTAGATCCAATTCATAATTTTCCAACAAAGCTGAAAAATCCAATTTCCTATTCCCAGCTAAACCATGTATCCAAAATTTAATTATGATTGAACAAGTTTGACTGTTGCATCCAATAAAAGCAAAAGTGATCATTATTATGTGAAACAAAACTCAATGATAACTGCTTCTAAATATTGCTTTTGAGAGTTTAAAATGTTTATGTTTCTTGCACTGTTAATTGATAATTAATTGTTCAAGTTACATGCTTTTCTTGTCACCAAACTCAATGATAATGGCCACTCAAATAATTCCTGAGCAGCTGACATTCATTTAAATGTTTGCTTTATATGTAACTTGAACAATTAATTATCAATTAACAGTGCAAGAAACATAAACATTTCAAACTCTCAAAAGGAATTGAAACCCAAACACAAAAAATTCGATCGGTTGTGCTTGGGGGAAACCAAAACGGTATAATTTTTGAAATTGGATAAAGAGGACTGAATGAAAACGAAAAAGTACCAGAATCTGGGTGAAGGGAATTGAAGGCCAAATCGAAGGGGCGTTGGCAGAACCTTAGGTAAATATAAACGGGCAAGCAGCTCGGGCAGGCAGTGGGTAGTCCGAAACATGCTTTTCTTGTCACCAGAGTCAATTTCTCATTGGCTTCCTCCATTGATGCCTGCACCTGTAACTCCGACACACTGGAACGGCGGACATATTAAACCCTAGGGTTTTGAACAGGGCTTTTCACATTTAGGTCCAGACCGAAAAAACCGACCGAACCGGACCGATAGGTCCAGACCGAACCCGGACCGAATGGATTTCGGGTCGGTCTTCGGTCTAGAAAATTTTGGCATTCCGGTCCGGTCCAAACCCGAAATGATTTAGGTCCGGACCGATTGGACCGGTTGGACCTAATGACCTACTGGACCTAAAAAACCTAAAAACTAAAAACTCTACTTTTTAAATTTCATATTACACTTTGATGCTCTATTTTAATAAATATTTTAATTTATTTAATTTAAAGTTTTTTTTATTAAGTAATTTTAAAAAAATATTTAAAAAAAACATTTCATATTTGTTTTTATGGTTCTACATTGAAGTAGTTCATATTGTTTATCCATTTTAAAGCTGCCTATTTTTTTTATTCATTTTCTATTTGAATGGTACAAAGTAAAAAGTCTAAAATATATTTAATTGATCAAAATAATTTAAAAAAATATAATTTTTTCGGTCCAATCGGTCCGGACCGGTTCGGTCCTAAATATTTCTGTCCGGTCCGGTCCAAACCCGAATGGATTTAGGTCCGGTCTTCGGTCCAAGAATTTACTCATTTCGGTCTTCGGTCCGGTCCGGGTCGGTCCGGTTCGGTCCGGTCTTGGACCGATGAACAGCCCTAGTTTTGAACGTGCATTATTTGGTCTGGGTCTGCATTGAGTTGAAATCCCGTCAAAACCAAACCGAGCCAGTTCGATCTTCATTCTTTTAATTTTCCTCATTTGAATTTTGGTCTGATCCGGCACGTCCCGGTCTACGCTCCGAACGGGTGGACAGTTTAGATTTTAAAATGTATTTTTTAAATTTTTTTGTAGATCTCATATCCATCAATATAGTAGGGGTGAGGCTCGAAAACTAAATGGGGAGAAGTTCGGAATCACTTCTTTGCCACTATGCCAAAAAGATTTCACGTATGTTTTCTATATAATCTTTCTATATATATTATATAAATGTGAAAAAAGAGTTAGGTACCCCTTAATATTATGCATCTTTTCCATCCATAAACCATGTACCATTAGTTTTAAAACTTATACCATGCAATTTATACCCCAAAATGCCCTTAACACCGTTAGTTATATTTAATCCCTTGATTCTCTAATTCACAATTAGAGAGATGCTTTATAGCAAATACGCCACAATTGTAGGGTATTATTATTATCATTATAAAAATTATTCAAAGTAATCCCAACTTTACCCGGTCATTAAAAAATAATCCTATATTTTACTGTGATGCATAATAATCTCAACTATACTAAAATTTGTGAGTTTTGGGTTGGCGTTAAGTTGCTAACAACGGGTTAACGGAAACAACATTTTTTTCGTAACAAACTGAAGTTGGGATTATTTTTTATGTATTTTTATTTTTTAATTTTTATTTTTGAAATTTTCATTTAAATTTTAAAAATTACTTTCTAAATCTATTTCTGTTTCTTTTTTAAAAGATCAGTCTTACCTTAGAAAAAATAAAAAAATAAGTATACAAAATTACGAAAAATGAGAAAATATATAAGGTAATCAACAAAATTAATCTGAAACTGGTAAGAAATAAAAAAAAGGTGTGGAGGGTTCTAACATTTTAAGCACTATACATAGTATTAATGTACTACTTATTTTTTTAAAGAACGGATAAATTTGGTATTATTCTATATAATTTCTTTTATAAATAAGAAGAAGTTGTACATACCCTGTATAGTGCGTAAAATGTTAAAACCCCCTTATCATAAATTTTTTGTTTATTTCTTACCAGTTTCAGATTAATTTCTATTGATTATCTTATTTATTTTATTAGTTTTGTATAGTTTTAGCTATTTTAATCATTTTTGTTATTTTTTATATCTATTTTTTATTTTGTATCCAAAGTTAGACTAATCCTTTAAAAAAGGAAAAAGAAAGGATGGAGGTAGACAATTATTTTAAAAATTTAAATGAAAATTCTAAAAAAACAAGCGAACACAATGATTATTATTATTATTCAGAATTAACTCCCAATATGCCACAATTACAGAGTATAATTATTATAATAAATTCTAATAATTCTAAATTAACTCCCATATACGATCTAATGACATTTTCCGCACACTCCAAACACCTCTTCCGATGCAATGAATGCTATTACTAGACACAATGATGGTTTGATTTTGTCTCTTACTACTTTCAGTTATGTATCGACCGTTGACCTTTTTGTTTATTTCATAGTAGAGAGATATTAAAATGATATGAAACTATGATAAAGCTATACTTGTACCTAATCCAAATTTGACTCTCGTCTTAATCTCTTCAAACAAAACTGTCATCAGTAGCAATTTAAAAATTTGTAAGATCATCTAAAGAATTTCACAAAATTCATTATACACCTTTTGACTCATAACTTTATGGGATTTGGATGTTGTACTTATTATAATTCCTTCACTTCTAGCTTGAGATTATACTGATTTATTATATGTATTGGCGGTGACCTTTAACAATGTCGTGTTATTAATTTTTTTGGTATTTCAAAACCTCATATTGCTTCTTGAAAAACTAACATTATTCAACAAACTTATCCAACACTATGATATGTTTAGCTTTCTACATGTCCTGTTCTTTTTGCAAGAAGCTCCACAATATTACTTTGTAATGTGATATACCTTTTACCCACACGTTTAGCAATTTCTTGGGCTTAGACAAAACTACAATGCTAGAAAAAGTAATTTATTTTTATGCTTTATATCAATTATTATAATTTAATCCATTCTCTTACCTGAGTTTCTGGTGCTATTCAAACTAAAATACAATATTTAACACTATTATTTCCTCTTTTAAATATTTTTCAAATATGTACAAAGTTGAAACAAGATAATTGATAGCATAGTACTGTCGTTCTTGTTTAAAATCCTCCCTTAGGTCTTAAAACCTTTCATGTTTTGAGTTTTTTGGTCAAATAGTTACATTTTTTTCTACCACAAATTAAACATAATCTAAATAAACAAATGATATAAAACTTTATGTATCAAAACTCTATCCTAATATGAACCAAACTATATTGAATTTATATTGTAGTTAAATATACTTTTCTCAAAATTTATGATCAAAGAATTTCACTGTTTTAGAAAAAAAGTCGAAATAAGAAAAGCTTTTAGGAGCGGGAGTAAGATATTTAATATGCACATATTTCCTAAACATCCATTAGTTACATTCTCCCCTGCTTTGAGCTCAAATTAACCAATATTACTATGAATACCATCTGTTTAGCTTCATCAATGATGGTTGGTGCAAAGCCTATGTTCAATGCTTAAAACACAAAGTCTTATCATAGACTTCTTGTTATTTAACCAAAATGATTTTGTTTATTTCATCAAACAATTAAAGATTGTTATTGAAGTTTTTGACACCACATCTGTATTTGTCGAGTAAAAAGTATGCATAAAAATACAATTATATGCAACCATTACATATGTTTAAATTAACACACATGGTAATAAATTGAATTTATTGATAAAGTATCACTAATACATTACAAAACTTACTAACTCAAAATCAACATGCTACAATTTGAACAATACAAAACAAAGACACGTAAAACAAATACATGAGAAAAGTTCATATATAATAGTATATTAATCGGGCACTTGAATCCGTGCATCACACGGAGCAATGCTAGTTTTATAATATGAGTAGAAAAAATAATACAAGTATACTTTCTGATGTTTTTATTCTAATGGAGTATTTAATGTGCTTCCTACGTGTCTAATTATTCTCCCCATTTTAAAAAAGTGTAAAATTTCATTTTTTAAAAATGATCTTATTTATAAATTAGTTATAGAAATGAAATGTATAAACTACATCGTTCAAAAGTATATAAAAAATTCTACAAAACAAGATGTGACAAGAGTGAGTTATTTTATCAAATTATCAAAGAAAATATGCATACAAACTTAAGTTACGAGAACCTTCAAATAGTAAACGGGAAAAATTATTTGGGACAACAGAAGTATAGTAATTTAAGACTAAAAGTTTTTTATTGGGTTAATGAGTGGTGACTCTAGGGTTTTCTCCTAGTTTTTTTCTCTTCGCCATGAGAGCCGTTTTCTTCTTCTTCTCCCTTCAAGTCTCGGTTTCAGAAATCTTCCCCTGTCACAATGGAAAGTGTTTCAGGAGCACCATCAATAGCACGTGTGGGAGATATCCTTATTGATGAATTCCTCATGATGAATATGGACGAATCGGAGATACTCCTAGGTCTCACCAGAGCGCTGGAGGAGATACCAGTAGATCAAGGAAAGGAAGATCACTATTATATGGTTGGTAGGCTGGTCACAGACAAACACATAAATGGTCAGGCTTTCAAGGATATGGTGGCACAAAGCTGACGGTCAGTGATGGGTATGTCAGTGAATGAATTGGGGAACAATGTTTTTCTTTTCAAGTTTTTTCACAAACGCGAGTGGGATCCGATATTGGAAGGAGGAACTTGGAATTTCTCCCAGAATAGGCTCATCTTAAGGAGTTTAGATGCTGACGAGAATCTGAGATAAGTGGAGCTTACGAAGGTGGCCGGAGATATGGGTTCACATATATGGCATAGGGGTTGGCCTACGATCAGAAAGAATGTTTTGGGATGTCGGGAATGGCATTAGAGAGTTCTTGCAGGGGATCCAAACAACTTAAAGCACATGAAAGGAATATATGTGTATCCGTATCAAGTTGGATATACGAAAACCATTACAACGCCTGATGAAGATTTAAGGGGAGCCTGTCATCACATTCAAATAAGAAAGGCTAAGCATATTTTGCTACTTCTGTGGAGTGCTACAACATACGGATAAGTTCCGTAGGAAGCTGTGAAATCTACCAGATATCACGAAATAACAATATATGTTTGGCTCGTGGTTGAAGGTAGATTATCAGCCAACAATAATGGGGGAAGCATAGTGTTTGAGGTTAGAGGTAGG